AGTGCAGAACAGGAAACAGCCATGTCTCCAGGGTGCAGGCAGGGTACAGCTGTGGCACTTTGCAGGAGGGCGTGGGGAGAAGCTGCAGCAACACCATGACCAGACATCTCCAAACTGCTGCTGTTGCACCCTAAGGACAAGGCTGCCCTGCACACCTGAGCTCTCAATACTGCAATCTGGTGTGCCCTGCTCTGCATACACACTATGCCCACCCCGCACTGGGCAGGTAGGTGTAGATTTCCCTGCTCCCTTTCCAGGTTCAGCTGCTAATGGGCAGCCTGAAGCCTTCTTGCCCAGCCCTCACCCCTGCCATGCTGAACTCCATCTCACCAACATGAGTCCCTGTGCCCCCTCCCCGCCCCAGCCATGCCTGTTCCCCAGAGTTTCACAAGGCAGCAAAGAGTTGGTTTACAACCCCCCAGATCAGTCCTGGGGTACACAGTGAAGAAGCTCTATGAACCCTGTTGGAGAGGCTGCAGTCCTAGTTCAGCCAGATACCACCTCTGCTGAGGAGGGCTTTCCCCACACTTCTGCCACCACCACTTCTCCTAGCCTCCCCATTTGCCAGCTGTGGCATGAATGCAGCTTCCAGTCACTAGAAAGCTGCACTGGAACTGGACATCTGCAAACTGCATGTGCACCACCACTTTTCTCCACTCCCCTTTTCAAGTATACGAGTGAAGTGTACCACCAAAGTTAATCCAGAAACAATATGCCCCAAGTATCAAAACTGAGATATATCTAAAAGCAAGTTCAATTAGTTGATTGCATATTATGTCTCCTAATTTCCAGCAGAACCCACAGTGTACTAGACACTCTGCAAATGCAAACATGACAAACTTTACCTTTACTTTTTTATTAATAAAGAAGGGCTGAAAGGATATTACTTCCCTGTCTGTTGCATCAGAAACTTATCTAGACTAGAAGGTTACAATAACTGCAAAAGTCTTCTAAAATGGCATAATGACAAGTGTACAGAGAGTTAAAATTTAGCAATTTAGAGGAAAAAGAATTAGTAAGAGTGTTTAACGTTCATTTGCTTTTATTAACACACGTTTAATTTAAATTTGACTAAGCAATATTTCAACCCATTGTTAAAACAGTTAACTTCTATTAAGGAGCAAAAGCTCAAAATAAATATCCCTGAGAAGCTCCTTAGGTATACTAGAAATAGCAAAGATATCTAGATATGACATTTCTTATATATCAACATTAAAAACAAGCAGGAAAACACTTCCCGGTGTCATTCTTTATGTATCATGAAGCCGGAAAAAAGAAAGCTGGAAGCCCACTTTTTAAAAATACTTCTAATGAAACTCCCAAAATACAATCCTCCCCAAACTTAGGCCCTAATATTATAAAGCTCACTGCAGCCAATGGAAAGACCCTCACTGATTTCAGTGAGTTTACACTCTTTATTCCACATTAAACTTTATTTGAGGAAAAAATAACATTTCTAGTGCTCATCATTGCCAAAACACAGCTGTAGAAAAGGGCATGAAATAAAGACCATAGAGTCTTCTTAAGCTTGGAAACAACCTACAAATATTACTGTAGTGTAAACTACCCCATTTATCTTAACAGGTTAATTTAGAAATGACAGCCTTCTATATACTGAAATTAGGGAAACAGTTTCATTTAAATTGAAGATAATTCCCAGAAAAAGAAAAAAAAAATTGAGTTAAGGTTGGGAGCATGTTATATAATTTGCAGAGATTTACTATTTTTCCCATCTGAGTATTCAACACTGGAAATTCTGAGTTACGGTTACATTGGAAAGAAATCCAAACACAAATCAGGTACAGAAAAACACACAGTTAAAATATCGCCAATTTTCACCCTGGTGTATTATGGTGCTGTTCAATAACCATACATTTATGGATTAATAAATTAGAATAATTATAGTGCAAGATCAAACTGATTTCTTAATTGACAGATTTAAGATTACTTTAGTGTACTGAGACTGCATATTTCCACACTTTAATTTTTTTTAAATTTAATTAAGTCTTAATTTCCAAAGACTTTGGAATAATTACAAAATGTCTTTTTTTTTTTTACTCTTGTATTGCCAACATGCACTCAACCTTAATGCTGTATTAATAGTTTTTACCTGAGAATGTCCTTGGGTTTTTTTAGAGCAGTTTTTTTTAATGTTATATACAGGCACTAAACGCAAAATTCAAAGAGAATGCTACCAGCTTATTTTTCTGATGATTTGGATATTTTATTTTTTAATCAACTTCTATTCTGCCCCCACCAATTCCTTTGTTGAATGTCCCCCTTCCTCTTCCCTGCTGTCTCCCTAAATCTTCTTAAGCACTTCTTATAGTCTTGCCATCCATCCTTGATTATTAGCTCTGGTCTGAGGGGTAGGGTTTCTGGGGGGAGAAGAAAGGGAAGTTGGAAGAGGAAAACATTAGGGTCAACCCATTTTCCTTAAAGCAGCTTGGCTTCATTCCCATTGAAAGGCAGTGATCATTACAAAAGGGCATTCTTCTGATGAAAGGTTTAAAGGTTCCCTCTTACTGGGAAGAATAGGATATTAGGGAAAACATCCATTTTTTAAATTTATCAGCAAGTGCCACTATATTTTGTGAATATTTCCAATGGTACTGCAAGATCTAGAAACTTTGAAACAGAGTACATGTGGCTTTGCTCTTCAGTCCCGTGACTATGGCCTGCTGAAACAGAGGAAGCAAGACAGGATTTATTTAATTAATTAAGTAATTAGTTAAAACTTCCAGGGTTTCAATCCTATCTTTCAGATTCATAATTTAGAATATATTTCAGGACAGCAAATTATAATAATAAGTTTATATCATTTTAACTATTCACAACAGTCATTGCATACATCAAATTGCTTACGCTTTCAATATATTAGCAAATAAATACATAAACATTTAAAAAACTAAAAGTAAGCAAAAGAGAGAAATTACAAAGATACAGTTACTTATGTGTGATCCAGTAATGGGTCACAAATAAAAGCATAAATACAGTCATTTCAATAGAGGAGGAAAAATGCACTTTTTGTTTATTAAATGTTCTGGTTCTCCTCCAAGTTTTAGGGTCCAGTCTGAAAATAACTATTTAAAACAGTTGCCATGGGGGGAGGGAGGGGGGAAGGTTGCTCACCAGTAAATATAATTTTTCTGACTGTGTAAGTTATGGCTTTTATGGCTTGTATCCCATGTTTCACTGAAGGAGCTATTCTTTTATGGGCATCCAAGAGCTATATTCAGAAATGTAAGAGAACATCCAGGAAGAGTCAAGTAACCAATATTTCCGAATAAACATAGCAACACTTCACTTTTGATTTATTTCCATCCCCTACTTCTGATAAAAACAAGATACCAGTCAATCTGTGCAAATACAATAATTCCCAAAGCAATCACAACAAAACACAGCCAATGAGCTCAAAATAAAACTGCTCCAAAACGTTCTTGCACAAGCAGAAGGCAAGGCAGGTTGGCCCCTTAGGAACTAAGTGGTAGAGAGAGGCATAAGCTTTCATAGGCAACAGGGCTACTTTGTCCATGCAAAGAATATTTCCCCACCTATGGTCCTTAATATTTTTCCTGACCAGTGATCTCACTGTTTTCCTTTGCTGTGAAGGCAACGCTTTAAAAGTAGTCTGTAAGGAGGAACTGCTTTGTATGTGACAAGTGAGTCTTAGCCAAAGAACCCCTATTTCCAACCCATAATAAACAGAAGGCAGGGCAGGGTGGTACCTTAGGCTGCTTACAGTTGTTAAACACACACACACACACACACACACACACACACACACACACACACACACAAAAACGGCACTTTACTTTAAACTCAGTGCAATCCTGTGCCAAGCCCAGCACATGCTCAGAAGAAGCACTGCATTAGCTGGACGTGGGTCGTCCAACACCGTTATAGATTGGGCAATTCTGTGGGGCTTTTTGGCAGTTTTATTTAATATCTGATTGAGTTAGCTATTAGATAAAAGCACCAAAAAGCCCTGCTGAAGTGCCAAATCTATACAGACAGTGAGGAGCTGGGATGAACTAACACGCTGCTTCTTCCAGTAAAGTGGGATTGGGGGTAGGGGGTTCTAACATCTGTAAGCAGCCTTAGAGACTACCTTAGGTTCAGAGAGGCATGGGCTTTCATAGGCAACAATCTACTTTGCCAGAGGTTATAAATCGCCTGAGCATTAAAAATAAATGAATAAATTAATTAATAAGATGCCTTGAGATTCCAGAATAGAGTACATGCAAGTAAGTCCCTGCAGAGACTGATCTAAAGAAATCTTGAGTCATCAAGAACTACAGTAAGGCAACAAATGTTGGTGCCATATCCTTCCTTAAAGCACTTGGCACAGAAAGCCTGTCAAACCATTCCAAAAGAGCTGTACATTCTAAACATTTTGATAGGCTCCGAAAATGAGTACAATGACTCCAAAGTGCAAAAAGAAATAAACAACTTGGGAAAAAAAAACATTTTTCCAGGATCCTGCTAGCCCCAATCCCCATAGGTGTTCCCTACAAGCCCAGGAGCAGGCTCCAAGAGGGAGGAACCTGCCTGCTGCCACTGCTGTTGCCCTCAGATTAACTTGCCAACACTGCACAGACTGCTTGGAGCTCCCCCAGCCCCTGGGTCAGCTGGTGACAGTGACAACAGCAGGCAGGGAAAAGGCAAATGAAAGAAGAGGTATCAGTGAACACAAAGAGGAGGGGAGCAGTGTTGAGAGCCCAAGAGGGGTATTTTTCCTTGACTCATGGACTTAAAAAAAAAAAAAAAAAAAAGTCCCTAGCTGTTGCTCCCATGGCATAGTCTGCCCATTCTCAGTAGCGGGGGTGGGGGTCTTGGGCACACCCACCCCTGAAATGTTGGTTGCTGCTCCTATACCCCTGTTTACAAAATCGTGGATCCACCCATGAGCACCAACACAACAAATGTTGCATACACTCATGCATGGTTAAAAGCTTGCAATTTGTGTTCTCTTTCTCTCATGTAACAGATATTTTTTAATGCTTTACGGTTTCTAAAAATAATTGTCAAATCATACAATTTTTTTCAGTCTTTTATTCAAATGTATGTTTTATTTTAGTAAAAAGTTGTGCTATAAAGAGACAAAGGAAAAACACAAATATAAAAAATTGAATTAATCATAAATTTGATATTAGTCAAAATAGTAACTTTATAGTTTTCCTTTTTAATAATTTAAAAGATTAATCTGTATCACTACATGGGTTCCTCCTTTTCTTAACTTCACTGAAAAAAATGATGCTATATTAAGGAAATGTGTGGGAACATGGCTCCTTATGGGAAAACATCCTGCATTGCAGAGTTTTAAGGGTAACTTACAAACAGTGTCCTAAATGGGATAATCAAGCCCACACACACACATGCACGCGCGCGCGCGCACACACACACACACCATGGAAACCAACACAGCATTCTAATTTTAATACATGGCATTTCATCTATTTGAATGCATGCACACTGGAACATTTCTAGAGTTCTCTACAAACTTTAAACACAAAGTATTTAGAAGATGACCTTTAGAATAATTTTGCTGCTTTAAACAAAAAGTAAGCTTCTCTTCCCACAGTCTACTGTATGGCCATATCAGAAAAAAAGTTAACATTTCTAATATTCTTAATATTTTTAGACAGAAGCATGTTTTGGTCGTCCAACTGTTTTCCAGGATTTGGTTAATGAAGTATAGATGAGAGATGTGCCTCCCTGTCAACAGCCTGATGGGGGGGCGACTTTTAAATATGGACTTTTCACATCCTTCATTTCTCTCCTCCAGAAAAGCAACAAGTCAGTCTATATGAACCATTGTTGCATATCTACTGAACTTCCCATTCCCTTCACAAGGGAGTTCAAGAACCTATCTAAACCAGATTGTCTTTTAGCCATTTAACAGTATTTTGATTGCCATTTACTGGGATGAATCCTAAAAACTCCTATTTAGTTTCCACTGCAATCAATGGCATTCCTTATGTCACCAAAGGCTTCCCATATAAATAAGAATCTGTAGGACTGGACCCTGGTCTGCCAAGTATCTTGACTGCATTTCACTGGCCTTATTCTAGATCAGTGGCTCTCAACCTTTTTAGACTGGAGGCACCCCTCAGAAAGTGTCAGCTCTTGGTTTCCACTATTTTTTTTTACTACAGAAAAATAAAAAGTAGAGCAATTCTTCTGCTGCAAAACTCAGAAAGTCCACAGCTAGTCATGTTTTTAATATTATGTATTCCTATATGAAAACTGGGTTTATCTTACTTGCCCACCTAACAGTGTTAACACTGTGTGGCACGCTGCAGCACCTTTGAAAGGATCTCAAGGCACCCTGGTTGAGAATTACCAGGTGAATCTCACTCGAGATTTTCCTCTGTTAGCTCTCAGCTGACCAGTGGCTGGGCATAAATTTCAAACTTCCAAATAATCATTTAAAATTATAAGGAGACGGGAGGGAGAAAAGGGAAAGGGGGAAAAATCTGTTGACATTCTCTGTTAGTCTCTCCATATGTCCTACACGTAGATTCATTTTGTATTGTTTTTTAAACATTAGTATAAGTTGTTAGAATAGCATTCTGCTTTATTAATAATTGTGATAATTGTTGGTTACTTTAACATGCTTTTCCAATTTAAATATAGTGTGTGGTTGGATGATGGTGGGGGCATATATGCCCCCCCCCCAACTTGAGAAGCCCCACACCCCTATTAAATATTTAGTACATATTTAATATGTACTAAATGTAGCATTTAAATTACTTGCATTTTTAACAGTTTTTCAGCTATGTACTGCTGTATTGTCATAAAATACTAACAAAGAAATGTACTTTAATGTATATTTTTTAAAATCTAATTTCCATGCATTGACATTTTTGCCATAACAAATTCATGATTTACCCATAAATTAAAATTATCACCTTATGTGAATTACTACAAAAATAGTTTGAATTAGCAAGATTTATTTAAAAAAACCCATAAAGTGCTAAGGCGTTATCTAATTTATAAACTAATAGTAAGCAATGTAAGAATTAGCAAAATCCTTTACTCTAAATGGATGAAATAAAGAAAGCATGTTCACCATAACAAAGCACAGCCTTCTCCATTATGGCAAACAATGAAATAATGCATGCACAACATTTTAATCGTACTTGCTCTCTACTCATCAACGAAAAATATTTGATGAATACAATTCACATTGTTACATAAATTAGCCCCCAAAATATACACACATAAAATGATAAACACACCAGTGAGGTGAAGAACAATGAGCAGAAATTGGGTTGATTATAATGAGCCATGATTGTCAATTGACTCCCTCAGCACTGCTTGAATAGAAATGCCATTGCTGCTGCCAGACAATGGGTTTTAAACCCTGGGTGGA